CTTGTCATTTTCTTCCCTATTAGGATACTTTTCAATGGCATAGACAGAGAGAAAATTTTAAAGAGTTTTCCAGCCCTTTTAAATTCCGAGATGGAAATCATAAACAGCTGTCTTTCTCTTCTCTGCACTTTATAAACACGGTGCCTTTCCTGTGTCTGCGATACAGACCTGAGCATCCTCAGCTTCATCTTCCTGGCTGTCAGGAACACCTTCCCGTGTTTCAGTTTGGAGACTCAAATTGTAAGGCCCCAAAGCAGCCTCGGTGCCCTGCTGCTGTGGCTCCTCAGAAGAGCGTGTACAGATCCTCGGGGAAGAAAAGCTTCCCCAGGCCTGTGTGTCGGGGGTCAGAGCGAGCCCCAGGAACCACGGGGGACCCAGTGCTGTATTTGGATCTGGTCGATTTTTTTTTTTAGTCTTACTCATAAACTACCTTTGGTTTGTTGAGGGCAGCAAGGCATTTTATCTAGAATGTTAGAGACTTCAGTTTGCATCGATATATTTTGAGACAGGGTGTGTCAGTTATTTTCCTTTTGCTGTGACAGAACACTTGACCATGGCAACTTAGAGAAGAAAGAATTTATTTGGGCTCATGATTCCAAAGGGACCGGGAAGCAAGGTAGCAAGCTGGATCAGGATGCCAGGGCTCACGTCTCGAACCACAGCAGGAAGCAGAGAGAAAAGGGGAATGGCACACGGCTCTTAATCCCAAAGCCCGTCGCCTGTGACGCGACGTACTTCCTCCAGCAAGGCCACACCTCCCAAACTTACCCACACAGCCACTGACTGGGGACCGAGTAGTCAGACATCTGAGCCTGTGGGTGGCATTCTCATCCATTCCACTACACAGTGTCTCACTGCATATCCCTGACTGGCCTGGAACTCCCTTAGTAGACCAGGCTGGCCTGTAACCCACAGAGATCTGCCTGCCTTTGCCTCCCGAGGGCCACCACCTCCAGGTAGAGTCTATTTATTTTATTATGCTCTCGTTACACCCCGAAGGCAGTCCCCCTCCCTCCACTCCAGCCCACAGAAAATATTAAATAAAATGACCTGTGTGTTGAAGGCTTGCCTAATGTGTTAGATGTCGGTTACTTCAGAAAATTAGAGGTTGGTGCTTCCAATGCCAGGAATACTGTGTTTGCATTGTATTGTACTGACATGTATTTGTTGCATGAATGGGAAAAATGCAAATCCCCTGATTGGGATCACCTAAGAGGCTTCATGAGGACAGCACATTGTCCTGGGAGATTACTATGGAAAGAACAGTTGTGAGGAAATGTGGGAAAACAATTAAGAGAAATTTAGCTATCCCATAATAGCCTCACTTCCATTTAATGTATCAGGGGAAGAAGAAAAGGAATTTCCCCTCTATTTTGCCTTATTCTGGGATCAAAATAGTGTTTGTGAATTTTGTGGTGGATTGAAACACTTTTAAAGAGAAGAGCTGATGCCCCGTCCACAAATAGTTTAATTTTATTAATGTAAAACATAGTGTTTTGTTTTTGTTGTTGTTTTGGTTTGTGTGTATGTTTGTTTGTGTTTTTGAGATAGGGTCTCACTATGTAACCCTGGGTGGCTCAGAACTCACAAGATTTACCTGTCTCTGCCTCCTAAATACTGGGATTAAAGACATGTGCCACCATGGCCCACTCAGCTGTAATTTTTAATATCTAACCAATCTACAAAGGAATGGAAACTCCAAAAGAATATTTTTAAAAAAATCTTAGAATTGTCAAGAGCTGCAGTTATCAGAATAAGTTCATATGGTTTTGTTGTGGGATATTTGTACACTATGTGAGGGTGTATTGTTGTAATAAAAAGCTGAATGGCCAATAGCTAGGCAGGAGGTATAAGTGGGATTTCCAGGAAGAGAAAGGAAGAAGAGGAGGAAACTAGGCACACAAAAGAAGAAAGGAGACATGGAAAGGAAATATAAAGTGCAAGATGGAAGAGAGGTAATGCCACACGATAGAATGTAGATGAATAAAAATGGGTTAATTTAAGTTATAAGAGCTAGTTAGCAACAAGCCTAAGCTATAGGTCAAGCTTTCATACTTAATAAGAAGTCTCTGTGTCATTATTTGGGAGCTGGCTGGTTGGCAGAAAAAGACTCATTACACATGGTGACCAGCATGGGGCCAAGTATCTCCACAGAAGGCCTGAGAAAGCTTTAAAAAAAAAGTTCAGAACACAGAATCAAATACAGCTTCTTGACTGGCTTCCAGGTGACCAAGGTCTCTCAGGTGACCAAGGTTGGCTCATCATATAGAGACACAGCTACCAGCTGCTGCCTGCAGGCTGGAGCCAGATGACAGAGCCATGCACCAGCACCATGTGCTAAACTGAGTCTCGGGGCTTCTGACTTAGCAGTTTAAGATTTGTCTCACATGGTCAGAGAATGTTCCAGGCGCTTAGAAAAGTCAGGTCCAGACACAGAATACCTCTAAAAAGGTACAGTATGTTAAAAAATGTGCTTAGGTGCCAAAGAAAGAGAAGAAAATGAGTATAGACAGTCATAAAAAATAAATAGTTTAAAAACAATAAAGACTTTAAAGAGAGAGTAAAGTAATATTTAAAAAAAGTAAGCCACAAAAGGATGGGAAATACACAGGGTGTGTGGATCCTGTTTGGTGCTTTGTTGACTTTGAATTTTTTAAATGCTGATAATTGAATGGCAGCAGCTGAGAGACATTGGACAATGAAAGGGACTGATGAATTAAACTAGCTTAGATACTTTAGAGATGTCTTGGCTTCAGAATGGAAGTAAAAAATGTGTGGCTTTGGGGGAGAGGTTGTGTTTTTGTTTCCACAGACTATGAAAGGCTATGGATTCCTCCAAAATTAAGATTAGATTTGACTGAGGGAGACCTCCTGAAAATCTGGGCTACAAACATTAAAAAAAAGGAACAAAAGAAAAAACTATAAGACAGGTGATGTATAAGCTGATCTTTTGACGTGGGAACAGCTCTGAGACTGGATGAGACATGACAAATCTTGTTGGCTATAGATTCCTCATGACTTATTACATGCCATCCTTTCATATGGCATGGATAGAGATTTATATTAGAGTTTGGTTATATGGTCCAAACAAACTTATAAGGTTAACAGATGCCTTTTACCTGCTCAAACATAAAACATAAATCATCTTTAACTGACTTGTGCACACTACACAATTCCATACTTATGTTAATGTAGATATATGATACCTTTTGTGTGTTTTCAGAAAAAAAAAGGACCAGATACCAATAAAGGCAAGTAGTCCAGGTGATCCAGCCTCTCAGAATGCCTCTGTTGAAGTTTTCTAAAAATTGTTCTTCCAAAATTATCTTCAAAGCTGCCAGCTGAGATGGTCCAGCCTCACAGACTACTTTTGCCACAATTTCCCCACAGTTCTGCACTTTCCCATTACACAGAGACTGAACAACAAATGATACAACTCGCTCTCTCAGGACTTGACCATTATCTCAATTTTCTCAGGGTCCCCTAAAGATGCCATCTCTCCCAGACAACAGGAAGCAGTCTAGAGAACTTGATGTCCACATTCCCAAGAAGTGGGGTCAGTTGTTTTTGATCATTCGCTGGGTTATGGATGTTTGTCATTGTTTAGGGAGGCTGAATGCAAGTTGTTATTGGTTGTGGTCAGGAAAAAGCTGAACAAAGGAGATTAGGTTCAGAGATCTCTTTCTGAAGGAAAAAATGGGTATGGTATAAAAATAATGGGCTAAAAGGGTGGATTGTTGAGTTTACTTTTGAACAACTACTAGCCTCAAATATTTTACATTGGTATGAATTTTTATATATTGATACAAATTTAAGGTTATTTTTGTTATACTGTATATATGTTTCTATTTTTGTTTAAGGTATTGTACCTCTGTAGCTCATTTAAAAATGTAATGTAAAGTTCTAGTCCTTGAAAACTATTAGAATAACAAAGAAAGACAGGTTAGTAGTTAGTCTTCTATAATTATCAAACCTATAGTCAGTTTAGGTATGTTTCAAGGTTAAACAGAGATATATTTTAAATTGATAGATGGTCTTCAAACACTTCAAAGACCTACAGAATATTTAAAATGTTTTAATAGCATACAGCTTTTCATGACAGTGAGACATGTCTTTTCTTGGCAACACCAATTTACTTCCAAAAATGATGATAGTCATCGAAGAACCTCTACATGGAGTTTGCTTTCTATGTGGCAAGAGGGAAGAGAGGTAACACCACGTAATAGAACACAGATTAATATAAATGGGTTAATTTAAGTTATAAGAGCTAGTAAGGAACAAGCCTGAGCTGTAGTCCGATCTTCATAATTAATAAGTCTCCATGTCAGAGATCTGGCTGGTGGGACAGAAAAGACTTGTCACATGATTTACCACCGGCTTAGTCTATAAGGGGGCATTGAGTGGCTAGAATTCATTTATTCATTCCCAGATATTTATACAGTCACTAACGTGTGAGGCATCTGTGATACAGGATGAGGTCTATACGTACCTTGCTCTGCTGAGTGTATATATTCAGATGATTTTTCATTCTAAATGGCAAACCCAAGAGTATGCTACATCAGATAAAACAGTGAGCCAAGCAGAAGGTGAGTCTTCAGAAGCACCAGAAAGTCTTTCAAATTCCATACATATCACACACACACACACACACACACACACACACACACACACACACACACACAGGAATGTGAAGGTAGGGTTTTTTTTGGGGGGGGGGGAGGGGTTCTTTTAGTTGTAGAAGGGTGCCCATGAACAGGAAGTGAGTCCTTCACACCTAAAATTCACAAATTTGGTGTTTGTGTTGGGTACTTTACAACGACAACTCCAATGTACTGCCTCAGGGAACTAAGAGCACTTTAGAAACAGAGATCAAGTGGAGATTCCATCAGAACTCTGAGCTGCCCCAGCAAGCCCATGGCCAGTACCGTGAGGCTATGGACTACAATTCCCAGAAGGCCGCGCGGCACAGCTCGAGAAAGGATGCAGCTCAGGCTCGTGTGTCATCTGTGTGCGCCTCCTGGTAGTGGGTACAGGCTGTGAAAGCATGGCAGCTGCTGAGACAGAGGTGGTGTCATCTCTGATTGCAGCCCCAGCCTCAGACGCTGCAGGAACAGCCGCGAACCCTGCAGCCGTAGCTGCAGCTGCAGTGGTAGCGTCCGGGACCAGATCTCAAGCTCAGGTCTCCAAAGCCGCCCTGGCTGCTAAGCTGATGTCGCTCAACGGCGTGTTCGCCGTGCACAAGCCCAAAGGGCCCACTTCAGCCGAGCTGCTGAATCGGCTGAAGGAGAAGCTGCTGGCAGGTACTGCAGCCCGGGTAGGGACCAGGCTGCGGCGTTCTCCGCCGCAGGGCAAGGACCCTGGGGTTTTTACATTTTACTTTAGTATTTATTTATTTACTTACTGACTTAATTTGCGCGCTCACGGCTCAAGAGAGAAAAAGAGCGACCGTTGAATTAACTTTAGACAGAAACCCCGGGCATCTAGGGTTGGAGTTATCAAGCGCAGACTCTTCCAACAGTGGCCATGTGAGCGCCTCACGGGAAGTATGTGTGTGTAGATTGGGGGCCAACTTGCATACACAAGTTTCCACCCTGATGCTTGCAGCCCAATTTTCTGTGTTTGATCCCTCCCAGGGTTTTTGTTTGGCTCTTGTGAATGAGTCCTACCAAAGGAAACTCGGGTTTGTACTCCCAAGTTGCAAACTTAAAAACATCAAAAATATATTTGAAAAGCCCATAGACCGGGTCAGCTAGGACTTAGAAAGGACATCATTTTCACCTACTAGTGGTCATGAGAATTCGTCTTTTAATCAAATACAGGTTCCTAATCCCCACATTTGCAGAGGTGGTGATTCTGAAGATCTGGGATATTTTTGGGAAATTGCACTCTTAAATAGTTGCTCCAGATTCTAGTGGAAGTACTTTATGGAGCATATTTTGAGGAACATTAAAATAGAAGTTTGTAACACGAATCTTAAAAGGTCGTATTAATAAAAAACTTGGGAGCCAGGTATTGGGGTGACTTCTGAAAGGTCAGAGAAACAGAACAAGCCACATCCAACCTCACCTTGCCAACTTTTCAGCTGATCCTGTTTCCTCAGACTGAAAGCTTCTGAGTCCTCATCTGAATGGATCTCAGCTGTACTGCTGCTAAAAAGCATAAACATTTAAAAGCCTCTAGTTCCTGGTCCTCATACCTCATATACCTTTCTGCTTCCTGCCATCCTGCCATTAAAAGCATGAGTTAGAGATGAGATCTCAAGTAAGACATGAGATCTCAAGTCCTGGGATTAAAGGTGTGTGCCACCACGCCTGGCTCTGTTTCAATGTGGCCTTGAACTCACAGGGATCTGGATTTGTGCCTCCAGAATGCTAGGATTAAAGGCGTGTGCTACCACTGCCTAACCTCTATGTTTAATATAGTGGCTCTTCTGTTCTCTGACCCCTAGATAAGTTTATTGGGGTGCACAATATATCAACCACAGAAGTTGGCCATTTTTCTAAGCATTCTTCCTGTTGATTCATGTGCACTGGGAAAATATTAGAAAAGCATAGTTCATCAGCCCAGTAGATAATTTAAAATCGTGGCATTAACATCAAACAAACAAAAAACTTTAGTTTTGTTTTGCATGTGCATATGTGTGTAGTGTGCATGGATGTGCCCCCCTCTGTGTCTCTCTGTCTCTGTCTCTCTGTGTGTGTGTCTCTTTCTGTCTCTGTCTCTGTGTCTCTGTCTCTCTCTCTCTGTGTAGGTCAAAGGTGATGATGGCCATCTTCAGAGAAGGCTTTCCATCTTACATGTTGAGGCAGAGTACCTCTCTTGAACTCAGCTTGCTCCAGGGAACAACCAGCCTGGCTCTCTCACACTGGATATCAGACAGGCTCCAATGCCACATGGTATTCATGTGGGTGCTGGACGTCCAAACTCTGGTCCTCGTGATTGTATCTCGAGCACTTTACCCTATGGACAATCCCCAGTTCCGAAGCCTTGGTTTTACCTGATTCTCACGTTAAGCTGCATCTTTGCCGTCCTGTAGAGACACAAAGATGAACAGTGGCTTTATGTTACTGGGCTTACAGTCCTGTGATTTCTGCAGGCTTTAGTCATAAAAAAAGATGTAAGTTGTTGTGGGCTCCCAGCTCCGCACTCCGATCTCCAGGTAAGCTTTATTTGTTAGAGCACAAACAAAATATCACCACAAGCCTCGCCTGTCTTGGTACTAATATAGAAACTTTTTACATTGCTCAGTGTCTCCTGGAAGACTTCATCTATTTTGTTTGTTTTGAGATAGGCCTGCCTTGAACTCATTATGTAGTCAAGGGTAGCCTGGAACTCACAGTGATCCTCCTGACTCAGCTCTTCAATGTGAGACTTACAGGTGTGCACCTCCATAACCAATTTTAAATTGTTTTTTAGACATGGACCCAAACTATTCTGATAGGAATTTGCTAATTATAACAGGTAAAATGCAGATTTAAATGTCTGTTGACAAATAGGTACATTCTTCCAGATGCTAAATGCTGGTGTTGCACCTGCTCATTTGTTAACTGTGACGGTTGACTTTGATTGGCAGCTCAAAATAGCCTAGAATTCCCTGGGAAGAGAACTTCAGTAAGGGAGAGGGGTTATCTCTATTGGGTTGGCTGTGGGCATGCTGAAGAGGGATTTAATTATGTCACTGATAATGCTAGGACATTGAGTTTTCTTTATATGCTATTTTCTGTCAGAGGATATTAGTGGTGATATTTCATTTGTGCAACCCAATAAAGCTTATCTGAGGATCAAAGGAAAAAGCCAGCCACTATAGTAAACATAGAAGTCAGGCAATGGTAGCACATTCCTTTAATCTTATCATTCGGGAGGCAGGGATCTGTCTGGATCTTTGTGAGTTCAAGGTCACACTGGGAACAGAGCCAGGCATGGTGGCACATGCCTTAAATTCCAACACTAGTTAACCATAAAGGTTTGGAGGTCTGTACAGACAGACAGGAAGTGACAGAGCTGGGCAGAAAGAGGAAGTGATGTAGCTGGACAGAGAAAGCAAATGAGATAGTGTGGTGGTATTGTGTTCCCCAAAATATTATGCACCCTAATAAACTTATCTGGGGTCAAAGAACAGAATAGCCACTAGATATAGAGGCTAGAAAATGGTGGCACTCACACCTTTAATCCTAGCATTCCAGAGGCATGGATCTCTGTGAATTCAAGGCCACATTAGAAACAGCCAGGCATGGTGACACACGCTTTTAATTCCAAGAAGTGAGCCTTTAATCCCAGGGAGTGATGGCAGGAAGCAGAAAGGTAAATAAGGCATGAAAACCAGGAACTAGAAGCATTTGGCTGGTTAAGCTTTCAGCCTTTGGAACAGCAGTTCAGCTGAGATTCATTCTGGATGAGGACTCAGAGGCCTCCAGTCTGAGGAAACAGGATCAGCTGAGGAACTGGCAAGGTGAGGTAGCTGAGGCTTGTTCTGTCTCTCTGATCTTCCAGCATTCACCCCAATAACTGGCCTCAGGTTTGATTTTATTAATAAGACCTCTAAGATTCCTGCGACAAGATAGCAGAACAGAAAGGCATATAGGTGTGAGTATACAGGAAGTAGGTCTCTCTTTTGGAAGCTGAGCGTCACTAAGGTGAGGGTGGCTTGTGGCTTTTCCTATTCCTCCGATCTCAGGTTTTAACCCTGATATCTGGCTCTGGGTTTCTTATTAATAAGACTGTTTAGCAATTCATCTACAGATACTGAACTAAGGAATTGCATCAAAGGGAGTGCTGTGGTGTTTTTAGGAGTTTTGTTTTTTTCTTCAGAGATGTATTGCTTTCATCTGGCCTGGTTTGTCAGTAAACCAGCTTTTTTGACCAGAGATTAGCATTCTTAGGGAAGCTTTTCATAGCATCGAAACTCTCAAGTTTCTTAGTTACACTTCATTAGGACTGGTTGTCTCGAGGCTGTCACTAGGCTGGTTTCTGGACAGCATCATGGAGATGCTGGCCTCCTTCTTCCCTCCTTGTCTACAGTGCTTGTCATTGGGCTATTCTGTTTATCCATATTAGCTAAACTGTGCCTCCCAAATGCCATCCTGACTCCCGTCAGAATCGCCTTGCAAGCTACTTAATGATAGCACATTGTGACCTTCCCAGGTCTGACAAACACTGGTTCCCTCTTGGTCAGCAGCCATAGGCTCTTAGTAGACATTCTCCGCCTGTCCTTGCATTGATTTCCGCCACTGTAGGGTCCCTTCTCTTCTATGACTTTGAACCTTCCAAGGCCTGAAGCATACTAAGTTTTCATAGTTAGAAAGGAACTTACGTGGTCATCCAGAAACACTCATTGAATATTTGGTTTAGAAGAGTGAACAAAATTTCAGAAGTGTGGCAGAGACGTTATGTGTGTAAGTTAGAGATAAATTTGGCCTCAGACAAGGTGCTTGGATTTATGAGATGTTCATACTGTGAGGACACTCAAGTTGGAAATACCAAGAGTTCCCTAATGTGTTTTTGTAACACTGACAGAGATCCACGATGCACTGGAAGGTGAAGCATTTGAAGTCCAGGCCTAATCTTTGAGAAGTGGTTCTCAACCCTCCTAATGCTTCAACCTTTTAATACAGATCCTCATGTTGTGGTGACCCCCAACATGAGGGGGTCATAAAATTATTTTTGTTGCTACTTCATAGCTGTAGTTTTTCTACTGTTGTGAGTCATAAGTAAATATCTGATATGCAGGGTCTCTGATATGTGACCCCTGTGAAAGGGTTGTTCAATTTCCAAAAGGGTCTCGACCCACAGGGTGAGAACCACTTCCTCAGAGGCTCCTGTTGCTTCAGTCATGTTCCTCCACGTGTGGTGACATTATAGCCTGAGTGACACTGGGACTGTATGCCTGATCTGGAGATTCTGAACCAGTGGGATGGGAGTCATGCAGTGAGGCTGGCTGACCCAGCACAGCCCCCTGAATGTCCATCTGTCTTCTCCACTCCCACTGCTGCCGGCTTTCTCCTTGTCTCTGCCCTGCCCTCTTCTCATTTCCTGTCATGTTTCCTGTCCCCTGGTGTCAGTGGCTATAAAGTAAGTTAGATGTGCTGAGGGACAGGGTACAGGTATGACGGTTGTCATAATGGCGGGCATGTGACATGAGCTGGGTTAGGATCCTTATTTTTTCTTTTTATTAAACACATGGGTTTGCATCAGGTCCTCTGTGTATATTATGGCTGCCAGCTTGGTGTTATTGTGGGAGTCCTAACAGTGGGAGCAGTGTATCTCTGACTCGTTTGCCTGCTCCTGGGATTCTTTTCTTCCTATTGGGTTGCCTTGTCCTGACTCCATATGAGGGCTTTTACCTTGTCTTATTGTATCTCGGAGGCCTGCTCTTTTCTGAAGAGAAATGGAGGGAAAGTGGATCTGGGGGAGAGGGGAGATGGGGGAGTAGGAGGAGGGAAACAGTGGTTGGGATGTATTATGTGAGAGAAGAACCCATTTTCAATAAAACAGTGCGTCAGAAATCCAGCGGCAACTTAGCTGCTCTGTACTTGTCCTTACGCTTTCTCTGAGATTAGTTTCTTTAGTGAACTGAAAGTTTTGATCATGAGGGCAACAAATAAAACTAGCTCAAGAACTCAGTGTAGAATCAGCCCTGTGTGAGATGTGCTTTCAAGGTTAGCAAGCAGCAGGGAAGGACAGGAAACTGAAAACATTTAGAGATGTTAGCTGAGGGTTTTTAAAAGTAGCAGAAGTGCCCAAACCAGCTTATTGTCATTTTCTAACTACAGGGGCATTACTAGAATTCACTGAGTTAGCCTAAATATTGACACGCTTAAGACTGTTTTTCCTGGGGCTGGAAAAATGGTTCATCAGTTAAGAACTTTGGCTCCTCTTCCCGAGAACTCAGGTTCTATTCCCAGCATCCACTGGGGTCTCATGTCTGTCTGTAACTCTAGTTCTTGGGGCTCTGATGCCCTCTGCTGGCCTCCTTGGGCACTGCATGTATGTGGTACCCAGCTATACATGCAACCAAAGCATCCATAAACAGCAAACAAATAAATAGGTAAATAAATAAGAATTTTTTTCATAAAAAATTAGTTCTAGTTTCTAGTTGACCAATTTTGAAGTACTGTTCTTTTGTTTAGGAAGTGTCCATACATTTGTGTGTGTGGATGTGGATACCTGTGTGTGGAGGTCAGAGGTCACCCTGAGGTGTCATTCCTCAGGCACCATCCACACTATTTTGAGACAAGGTCTCTCACTGGCCTGGAACTCACCAAGTAGATGTCTTTGAGACCTGCCTGTCTCCCCTTGCTCAGCTCTGTGATTATAAATTCATGTCACCACGCCCAGTTTTTTCTTCCGTGTGTGTCCTGCGGATTGAAGGAAGGCTTCATGCGTGAGTGGTAAGCCCTTTACCAGCTGAGCTATTCCCGGGCCCGGCTATACATTTTCTGTTGTTCTGATTTTTGAGACAGGGTCTCATGCATCCTTGGCTAGCCTGGAACTCACTATGTAGACCACCCTGGCCTCAAACTCATTGTTAAAGGCACGCACCACCCATTCAGCTTGCTACACATTTTAAAATCTGGTTTGCTAGTTGGGTGGGCCTGGCCTCACATTTGCACTGTGTTAGTTTGACGAGGTCGTCTTCTCATCCACATCCCCCCTGACTTACCTGGTAATTACTCTTTTCACCCCAATTACTCTCGTAGAAGCTGGAATGCCAACTCCAGAATGGAACAAGAGGCAAAAGCAGACACTGAAAATTGGACATGGAGGGACACTGGACAGTGCTGCTCAAGGTGTTCTGGGTAAGCGACATGGAGGAAGTTTATTGGCACTCTCCTTTGATACCAGGAATGCTCGGTGAATGCGGATTAAATCATGACGCCCGGCTCCTCAGCACACCTTGGAAGTTCTAGTTGTACTGTACTTGCAGTGCTTCTTGTAGGAAGCCCTTGAGTGGTGCAAAGCAGACAGCACCACACAGCACACAGCACACAAAACAAAGCACACAGCACCACACAGCACACAGCACACAAAACAAAGCACACAGCACCACACAGCACACAGCACACAGCACCACACAGCACACAGCACACAGCACCACATAGCACACAGCACACAGCACCACACAGCACCACACAGCACACAGCACACAGCACCACACAGCACCACACACACAGCACACAGCACACAGCACCACACAGCACACAGCACCACACACACAGCACACAGCAACACACAGCACACAGCACACACCACACAGCACACAGCATACAGCACCACACAGCACACAGCACACAGCACACAGCACCACACAGCACCACAGCACCACACAGCACACAGCACCACACAGCACACAGCACACAGCACACAGCACACAGCACCACACAGCACCACAGCACCACACAGCACACAGCACCACACAGCACACA